TGGAAGAGTGGACAAAAGAACCCACAAACCAGATTAAATTGGTTCGGATTCGATATTAAATTAATTTGTTTTTTTTCTTCATAAAAGACTAAGGAAACTACGTACATTGGCAATGTTAACGGTACCCATTTATTCAAGCAAAGATCTAGCAATTGCGACGTTTCTTTTTTGAATGAGGGCGAGCTAGATATGTTGAGCTCCGCGATATACATTTTCTATGCAAAGATTTTACATTAATGACTTGTATTACTGCACGCCTGTGTCGAAAGTAACAGTAACAAGTTCGTGGCTTTTTATATCTATCACCAAAGGATGAGACGTATAATCGTTGTTTGTGACATGTAGAAAAGAGCTTGGCGAACTATATAAAGTCTAGATGTTCTTGATCGGTATAAGAGATTGCGATCGCAATCGAATAAAATTTTCTTACTTATTATTTTACTTTCCAATTCATCAGCGGGTGCAAGCTAACCCTGTACGGGGCCAAGTTTCAACTTTCCATTTTGATACCTCAAGATGACTAATTTTTTTTTTTTTTTTTTTTTTTTTTTTTACATAAAGTAAGTCATTGAAAGCCTTCGTTTGATTTAGAATAAACGGAATTTTCTCATTTGCATGGTCAAGTGATTGCCATCACATTCGTTTATATGTTGATAGTGTTGTATATGTATAATTATTTACTTTTTAATTGTTATCTCATTTGTATATAAAGCAGGAAAGCCGACATTCCGTTATTCCATTAACGTCTACTATGCATTAACGGAGAAGTCATATTAATGACTTTGCTATGCTTTGCGTTGTCTGCTAAATTACAAAATACAATAAATTTATCTTGACTCGAACTTTCGATATGAAGAAGTTAGTGTAAATCTATACCTTGGCGTTACATGTTCTCTTATGCTTACATGAAGTGGAAGAAAACTTTTTCTGTTTACATTGATTTTTTTAATTTTCTTTTCTTTTCCTTTCTTCCTTCTTTCCCATGTAAACAGCTAATATTTACTTAAAATGTTTCGTTATATATATATATATATATATATATATATATATATATATATATACGAGTCGCTAACATATATGTACGTGCATATAGTTAGTTACTTTAATAGAAATTTGATCTTGTGTAACATTTTTACGGAGTCCATCATAGTTCATCCCACATAGACAGTTTGCTTTTTATTGTCTTCGTGTGTACAGCTCATCATCGTCAACATTTTGATGAAGAAAGACTGTTGGAATTTAATTAAAAATACAAACCCGGTTAAGCGGATCAAAAGGGAACAAAAGAAAAATGCATCGAACAAGAAACACGCACAAACTCATCACCGATATCTATTCATACTGCATAGAAAATCAAATGGTAAACAGAATAAGTAAAAGTAACTTTCCACTCTAACTAGCAGCTGCATTTACGTAGTGCAGTAGTTGTAGTAGTAGTAGTAGTAGTAGTAGTAGTAGTAGTGGTGTAAGTAAAAATCAGGAATGAACAGAAAAGCAGGGCAGGGTGAAAATAGTTCCTGTGAATTTGTTATTATTTTACTTGTATTAAGCAGCAAAACAAATAGAAATAACAAACTAGCAAAAGCACGAATCAACCAGTAAAAGTAACGACAGACATATGAATTACGGACTCACATAAATATGTATGTATGTGTTTTATGTTTGTGTTTGTGTTTGTGTTTATGTTTGTGTTTATGTTTGTGTTTGCGTATATATGTATACATCGAAGTAGATATTTGTTCGCATACTGAGGATAGACATAGGAAGGCTTTAAGTATTACGTTTGCGTGTACTTCAGATTTATCGCTTATTTTGCCCCCTAATGCCGACCCCCCTCACACTTGCCCCTTCTCCTGCTCAACCGTATATATATATATATATATATATTAGCTATTTATTTCTACAATTTTTTCTTATTTCCCAAAAGGCTTCTCATTCAGCATTCACTCTCACTCTATAATTGTCAGAATTTTATTCTGTGCCTTCTCTATTACGATTTGTTTTGTATATTTTGAAGGTTTTTATGACATGCAACAAAAAAAAAAAAATAAATAAATAAATAAATAAATAAATAAAAATAAGATAACAAAATCACTTACGTACAACTTTAGAACTTTACCTAATAAACACAAGGGGTTTACGCGTACATATCAAACAAATTGAAGATTTTCATATATGATCTGAAATTTCTCTCAATATGTACCAGCATCATCAGAGAGATCATACGGAAACTTTATAATTAATAGGAGAAAAGATAATATGTATACATATATGAATATACTTTGCTTTTGAATACACCAACCAATCGTAGGCGGCTGGCTCTATGATTGCTTCTCTTCGATATTCATTTATTTGTTTTTTAATATAAAAATCAGTTTGTTCGGCAAATGCTTAGGAAAAATATATTTTTTTATTTTATTTTTACTTTTTATTTTTTACTTTTTATTTAGGCCGTTTCACGATTAATGGCTAATGCGGAGAGAGCCATTGTACCTTATAATCCAGAGAGAGGGGTCGTTCCTTATAATCCAGAGAGAGCTCTTGTACCTTATAATCCAGAAAGAGCTCTCATACCCTATAGTCAGGAGAGGGGTCTTGTACCTCTCGTACGTGGCGACGTATATCATGGGGCAATTGTGCGCCCATCTTTTTATGACTCGTTTAACCAACATTTAATGTTCAGGGGAAGAAAGTAAGTTGACAAAAGTAACACCGATGAATACATTGATCGACATTTTCTTCGTTTGTGTTGCTTTCATTCAGCGACGTAATTAGCTTTGTATGCATTTTTAAAAGCTTCATGGGCTGTGGTATTTTTGCTATGCCAGCAGCCTTCATGCATGGCGGTACTTGGTGGACATTAATGCATCTCCTTGCATTTGCTGGCATTTTATATGGATGTATTTACATGCTGGTAAATTGTGCTCATACTCTAGAGTCTCGTTACAGAATTCCTGTATTGTCTTATTCACAACTTGGTATGACGGCCGTTGTGCATGGACCTCCCTTCTTATCGGGATTTTATCAAATTCCGAAGCATGTCATCAATTTTTTTCAATTTTTTGCTTCGATTTGTTTATGCGGTCTTTACGTAATGTTCATCACTCACAATATGTGCGACTTGGGAGATTTCCTTGTCCCGTCAAATATTATAGATTTCAAAATGTGGCGCCCGTTTGTCCTGGTGGTGGCAGTCGCTCTGATACTTCCCTGTATATTGTGTTATCTGAACTTGTATTGTTTGCTTGGAACTCTAGCCCAACTAATGGCACTCGGGCTTGGCTTCATTAACTACGTATTCGCGGATATGCCGGAACCGTCAGAAATCGAGACTGCTTTTCTCCCAGAAAAAAACATACAATTCGTATTTCTGATGTGCGGTATTATTATGTATCTGATCGAGGGCATTACCGCTATAATGCCAATTGAGAATACTATGAACAATCCAAGACATCTAATCGGTTGTCCATCCGTTTTGCTTACTGGGATGTTATTAGTAACAGCTTTTAAGGCAGTTGTCGGTCTTACGGGTCATATGAAATATAAAAGCCAAACCCTACCATTTATAACTTCTAATATGCCGAAGGATAACATGTACGCATATATCATATACGAAAGGGGATTTACTGCGTCTTCTTTATAACAAATGCATTTGCGCTCTTCTAGACTGGGCCATTTAATTCGAATGTATGCGTCGATGTCCATATACTTTACGTATCCTGTACAGCATAATGTGGCATTTAGCGTGATAAGAGATATATTGAGGTTTCGAGGAAATCGAGAGAAATCTATAAGGGCTGTCGTCCGTATATTATTAGTGGTATGTTCAACTCGATATTTACATATATGTGTACATATATATGCATACATAACTTTCGTTATAGATTCTTAGTTGCAGCTGCGTTATATTCAATCAGGAACATATTACATACATTATGGGTGTAATAAGCGGTTGCTGCTTCACTTTTCTAGGGATCATAATGCCGGCTTGCATCGAACTATGTGTTCATTATCGTGAATATGGCGTTTTTAAGTGGCGCCTTGTATTAAGTACGGCACTCGTTCTTTTTGGCTTAGCATTAGCTGGAGCTCTTACGTATGGATCGATTGGATCGTGGCTCGTTCATGTTGGAAAATCTGCAGAAACGGAAATCAGTAACGAATAAATTGAAATATTTCTGAATGAGAAGGAAACAAATAATGCGAGAAATAAATAAATGCGTAGTAGTAGTAGTGGTAGTAATAGTAGTAGTAGTAATAGGGATTTTCTTACTTTTATTTTAAAATTGCAACTTATTCATTTAATTTTGAATAATCATTGACGTAGGCAAAGGAGGTAAAAAGTAGGAAAAGAGGAATTAAATCTCAAACTTTTGCTTAAAGAAAAGAACGATTGTCTTCGACGAGAAATATTCATATGTGTCTTGAAATTTCGCTCAATACGCGTGAATGCGAGTGTATGTGTATGGCTTTAGAAGTGAAATTATGACTTCACAATAAATCTTAAGTACTACCATGAACGTTTACGTGCACGGCATACATTCAACGCTAGAATAGGAGGTTGCAAAGACCTTGCAATGCTTTGGTTATGAGATTTGCAACGATGAAGTTTAACACATTGCACATTTAATGTACAATGCTCATATGCTCATGCTTGTTTGTTTGTGTGTGTGTGTGTGTGTGTGTGTGTGTATGTATGTGTTCGTATGTCTTGTTCTTAATGCATGCATGAAATATGGTTTTGTAAAAAAATAGATAAAAATTTTAAATGAATTCGTTTACATTTTTATACCCATCATCGAGCAGTGCGCTTGGAAGAAATTTATAGGAAAATTCATCAAAAAGCTCTGCCAAATAAAATCATTCAAACTCGAATCAATCCATCCCCCAGCCCCATTCCGTTTATTATCTTATGTACGAGCTCTCATTAATGCAAAAATTGAAATGAAAATTGAAAAATTAACAACAAATCAGCATCAGATGCGAACACATCATTGAACAAGTTCGTACGATCGTTAATACTAAAAGTGGAAGGACGCAAAATATATTAGCATGACCCCTGCGCAAGGATGACATCCAAAATCGCGAAACTTTCTACATTTTTAGTACAGTTACGTCTTTCCTCTATCATCATCAATAAAGCGCACGAATTAAAGTTTCTAGCCGTTGCGTACGATTTCTTTGTGATAAGATAATCAAAAGGCTTAACTCCTTAATCATGTCTTTCGTTTGTCTAAGCGAAGCTTTGTATATCCATCCTCACTGATTCATATTGTTTAGTCATTGGTTCATGCAGCTGCCCGTAACATTATCTATGCCTTCTCAACTATACCGATTAAAAGCATTTTCAATGGATCGCCGCGGCCGCCCCTACCCCAGAACTCTCGATTTCTTAAACTACGCCTGGCCCATAAACTGCTGCGGCTATATCTTGAGAATATTTGATGAATGTGGAAGCAATCCACCGCGCAATTGCTGCAATTTTGCATTTTTTATCGACTTGTGACACGGTGCCACGTCTTGATGAAAAAACATCTATGTTCTCTTCATTTGCGTCCGCTTTTTTTTTTTGCAATTCCGTCATTCAAACGCCCTAATGATGCTATGCAGTATTCATTAATGTATCTTGGTTGGGATGAATATTACGCCAATTCGCGTCTCAAAGCCAGCCACTTCGAACGAACCTTTCTCAGACACAAATGTTCATGCAAGATACTATATACCTCTGTTAAATTTTGTGTGAAAACTAAAATTAGGTTGACCAGCTTACCAACTCACTTAAAACGTTGGCGATGACATTTGGCAAGTTTACTTTACGCAAAAAAAAAGTAGTACAAGTCCCTTCCAGAAGAACGAGAAGGTCCCGGGCGCCCCAGTATGTCAACAACCGGTTAAAAATTGTTACGCAGAATCGTCGAATCACTATTAGACAAGTTGATGACTATGTCAGCATATCCATTGACGCATGCCATGCAATTTTTTCGAACGCTTTGGTCATGTCATGTGTGGCAGCAAAACTGTCCTCGAAATACTAAATTTTGATTTTGGTTATTCATTATTTCCGCAATCATGACTCAGCCATCGTATTTAATGGACTTGGCTATCTACGACTTTTTCCTATTCCTGAAAACGAAAAGATCCATTAACGGATGGAGTCTTGTCGTGATTGAAGAAACAGAGACCGTATTGTTGGAAGAGCTCAAAGGCCAGGCAAAGGGGATTACTTTGCGGAAAACAAAATATACTTTGATGAATAAAAACATGTTTTTCGAGAAAAATTAAACGGCACTGTTTTTTCGAACACACCTCGTACACATATCGTAAATTTCTTTTTTCCTTCTGCACGCAGAAAATAATCAAACAGATTGCTGCTTGTAGTAACCTTCATAAAATGTACCCATTTCCGATTCAACGGCAATTTACAAATCGTTAGCTATCTACTTATCATTGTTTGTTTCACCCAAACACTGTTGAGCCCACGAAAACTTTTGGTAGAAAGTTAAAGCTTGGCGTTTAGATAACCATTAATTAACTTCAACGAATTCATAAAAAGAGATAGCATAAAATCTCGACTTCGGTTCGAGCACTTCACTTGCGCTAGAAACAAATAGAAGGCAAGGAAGGCTTAAGTTCCATTTGCTTCTTACTTATAGAAACTGACTGAAAGGAGCGCCGTAAACTTGTAATTCTTTGCATCCATGCTATTCAACATTATTGGAAATTTGAAGGTTACTATGATTTCGAAAGATGATGAGTTTTTCGAAAGACTTCTCCATTGTGTCATTTATCCATAATTCTCAAATAAAGCTTAATCGTTTGCACTTCTCCATTTATGAACACTCCTTGCACTCCTTGTGCATTATCAGCTTTTCGGAAATGCTTTAGCAACTGTAGCATTGCATTTCTCCTTTGCCTTTTTCTTATCTTTTGTCTCTATCAATATTCTGCAAGAAACTTGTTCAATGCCATTTGCCAAAGCTGCCACTTCGTCAGCAAGCTGACTGATTGGCTATTTTTACCTAAATGTTCGACCACTTGATAGCGCATTGGAAGCATTATTTGCAAAATGGATGCAAAAAAACATTAAGATTTTAGAGTCGGGCAAGGCTGATCTATAAATAGTCTACGGTACTGTTTTCGTCATCAAATACAATGAACTTAAGCTATGTTTCCAAATCAACGGCTGATTGCTTATGAGAATCTGTACGATCGCCACAACAGTTCATCATTCTCTATAAAAGGAAATTTATGTTAAAAACTATAAACACGACTTGATTGGAATAAACATACATATACGTACATACACACATATATTGAAAGTTAACGAAATGAAGTCGACGTAAATGAAAATATTTTGACTTTTAAATCCGGGTTAGTAGTCTCGTATCCCTATACATGTGTGTGTATGCATGCTTTATAGTAAATGTTTACAATTTTTCATTAAAGAAAAAAATACAATATAAATATTTTTTTATTTTTATTTATTTTTTTTTTTGATTTCGGGCATAAATACACTTTCTTCACAAAGATAAAATGTTACTAATTGCACTCTACGTAACTTTCTCACTTCTCCCCTCCCACCCTGTTGCACAATGCTTCTTTGTTACTTCAAGCAATGTTTTTTGTTTAGTAAAGTAATATTAGTAGTGTTACTAAAACAAGCACATGCACTTTACATACAAATTGTTATGAAGATCAAAAGGTTATAGAGTGTGTTTGTAGTTGTTTTTGTACGATTACTGGATGTTTGGATTAATTTTATAATCCCCTTACCCGCACCTGAAGCCCTTGCTTGATTCAATATCTATGTTATATAGTAAATATGAAAATGGCAAAACTATGAAAGAAGTGAAACGGCATGGTACAGTAAAGGAAAAAATTGAAGAAAACAAAAAAAAAAAAAAAAAGAAGAAGAAGAAGAACAAAAATGTAATGAGTTTTATTATTCCTTTTTTGCTATGTTCGTTTTTTTTTTTTTTTTGGATCAAACGATAATTCTATGCCAGCACGAGAAGAAAAAAAGCCCAGCGTTGCACAGCGTTGAGCCCAATGCTGCACAGCTAGTGTAGCTATTTATAGGTGCATATTTATATAGATTTGTTCACATAAGAAAAAAAGTATTTTATAATTTTTACTTTATGGGCAGCAGTTGGTGGGAGCACACAGTGGTAGCATTTCAGGCAGCCGGCCAAATAGCCAAACAATCAACCAACTATTCAATCTATATCGGCCCGCTAGCAGTGAATGAATGGGTGAAGCAACATATCGGGAAACCGTTGCTAACACAGTCGGTCGCTCTGCTGTTGCCGGCTTTTTAAGTAGCTCTTACACTTATTTTTTGTTGTTTTTATTTTTTATATTTTATATTTTATGTTTTATATATTATGTTTTATGTTTTCGTTTTTGTCCATTCGCTTTGCCTTTTTATGTATGTTGTGATTGTTGTTGTTGTCGTTGTTGTTGTTATTATTATTATTGTTGTTGTTGTTGTTGTTACTGCTGCTGTGGTTGTTTTTGCTAGTGCTGCTAGTGCTGTCAGTGCTGCTATTGCTGCTATACTGGCGGCAGGGATAGTGGTGGTGGTGGTGGTGGTGCTTTTCGAGGTTTTTATGGATATTCACGAGTTTGTCTTAGTTGCCTTTTCACTTGTTTTACAACAATATTTTTATGTAATATAATATTTTTGAAGAGCTTAAAGTGCTGGATTAAAGCAGATACTGGTAGGGAGTTCGAGTTATATCGAAAGGTTTTCTACTCTACTCTAGATTCACTTTAGCATTAGCTTGTTTTTAGTTATATACCAATATGTGAATAAGAATGTGTTTTACGGGTTAACATACACATGCATATGACACATTGTACTTTATGGCAAAATACTTCAGACTTTTCTCATTCTGTTTTATAACGAGGGTGCAAGCGTTTGCCTGCCTGTCTGCGTGTGTTTGTCTGTATGTATTTGCGTGTATTTATATGTTTGTGCGTATATATGTATGCGGTATATGTTACACATTTAAAGCAGATTATGATATTACAAGTACTTTAGCCTTCAAAACATGTTGACCGGACACTAGTAAAAAGTTTTTAGTGTTGTCACAAGCGTTATGATAGAAACAGGAACTGAGAATATATATATATATATATATATATATATGTAAAAAACAGAAAAAGAAAAAAACCAATAACTGAAACTTTAAACTGTGTGTAACCAACATCATATGCACAAACATTCTCTACGGTTTAGGTAAAATGTGGGTTTGTTTGCCTGTTTGTCTATATATGTAAATGTGATTATTAAAGTATACTCATATTACGTTTATATATATATATATATATATATATTTTTTTTTTTTTTTTTTCATTTTTTTCTACTCTTTTTTTTTTACGTTAGTATATGCTTTCTATGCTAAAGTAGTAAATATTGTTATTTTAATTGCACTTGAGATAGTTTTTAGTTTAATACTCTTATCTACAAACACATTTATGAATAAACGAACGAATGCTCACATAAGTAGTGCTGTATGTACAGTATAGTGTATTGCACGCACATAAGTACATAAACATTTTGAACTGTATGATCTCTTGTAATTCGCCGGTTAAGAACTAATGTTAATAATTTTCAAGTAAATTAATTCTCAAATGGTTCGGTCTAAAGTTAACTCAACTAATACGTGCACGTACAAACGGACAAGCGGACAACAAATACCACTCAAAAGTTGGTGCTTAAGATAAAAGCAAATCCGAAAACTTTATAGAGATATCATGCAGAGAGTGATTTCTGGAAAAATGTCGCATCAATTTGATTTCACGAGGTTTTAACATCCGCACCGAAAAACACATTGATTGCGGCTCAATACGTTTACGTACTGGACGTCTTAAAAGGAATGTCGCGATAATTCGCTCATATTTGCTTGCTTTTAAGATTATACCACGATTTTTTTTTTTTTTTTTTTTTTTTTTTTTTTTTTATATCAAAATTCATGTGCGACAAGTGAAAAATTGTATTATACAACATTTCGTACGAATTTATAGCAAAAAACTTTATTGAGTAAATATCGTCGTCAGAAACTTTGCACCTCTGCAAAGAATATCAAGCGCTTTTCTCTT